GTTAGTTAAAGTTATAGTTGAAGTTCTAGTTAAAATTCTACGTTCCAGTGAAGTTTAAATTAATGTTAGTAATAGTTAAGAGTACCTTAGATAAGATGACTAAGGCTAGTACTAGTTAAAATTGTTATTAAATTCTAGCAACAGACTTAATTAAAGTTGTAGATACAGTTCTAGTTAAATTATTTTCTAGTTAAAATTTCAATTAAGATTGTACAAATTAAAATTAGTTCTAAATTTCTACTAACTTCAAAATTTTGTTGAGGTCAGTACAAGTTAAGCTTGAGTCCAAGATCAATACTATTTATAATTAGTTTTATCTAAAATTAGTAATACGTAAAACTAATCCTAGTTAACCTTAATTCTAGTTAAACTTAACACTTTAGTCTAATCTAGACAAATGTATTACCGGCTTATACTAATTAAGGTTAGTTACACTTAACGTTAGGTCCTGTTCAAATTAGCTCTAAGGATAGCAGTAGCTAAATCTCAATAAAATTTGTTCTGGACTAACTAACATTTGATCCACGTAAGATTAGATCTCATTAAAATGAATTCTGTCTAGACAGATTTGCTTAACTGGCTTAAAATAATTTTTCTTAAAGTTAGATCTGAACAAGGTTAGCTCTTGATATAGATAAAATCTAACTGACGTTAAAATTAGTTTCAACTGAAATGTCTAACAGAAACTTGCTTCATGTCTAACAAAAGATAAATTTACTTAACCCAAACCTAGTTCAGGATATAGTAAATTGCCTTCACTTGTTATATTTTAAAAACTTTTTATATTTAAGAATATTTAAGAAGATTATATCAGAAGATATCTAAGAAATTTGTGTCACAACAATTTGTCTTCTAATGTGCAAATACAGATCTAATACACATGATAGAAATCTAATTGTAGATTAAGTTCAGAATTATTAAAATAATCACAAACGCGATTTACTAACTTAATAATCCTATTCTTCAACTATTTTCATTTTCAGAAATTTCTATAATTCATAACACTTTGAACGACACAGAAAAGTTTATTTACGAAAGTACCAAAAATTATGTATCTGTCTAACCAATCAATTAACCTCCACTTGCTCAACGTGCAATTAAAGAATGTTAAAAACATCGAAATCTTCGTTACAACATAAAACGAAAGCACAATTTCTTCTCACCCAAGTCCCCTTATAATTTGCAACCATCTTCAACACTCTATCTTACCGACAGAAAAAACGATGATCGACGAATAATCATGCACGAGAGCTGGTAGATGACTCAAAGGGATATTTCTCAAGAAGCACTCACCGCTCAAAGTACTGTCCTCAAAAAAAAGAAACAGTGCAAATTAAACGAGAGCCCGTAAAAAAAAATCGAAACATGAACTAAAAGCTTACAAAATTATATCTTGCACTTATAATTTCATCAATCAAGAGGTTACGAGGGATCTTAAATGTCGAGTACAAGATGACCCGTTGGTAAATTTGATGCGTTCAAATATCGTGTTTACGGGTTTCCAGACTTTCGTTTTAGCGTAACCTTAAGGAAAAAAAGAAGAAATCCTATGGCCGCGGGTCATAAGGACATCACGCTTCTTTCTTTCCCGGATGAATAGATTTATGTATTGGCAAATTGTGGGATTACGGCGTGCATTTCTACAAAATACGTAGGTGTAATTGCGAAATGAAATTTCGACATTCAAATTTCGAGAGTAAATATCTTCGAAGATATGTCGTTATTCTTGTTTATGTGGGAAGGAAACGTTTACCATTTTTATGAATTTTTATACCTGTGGTTTTTATTTTAATTGTGTCGAATTTATATGTTGTGTCTGTTTCTACATTTCATATTTATTTATTACTGATTTTGTTTTTATGATTATATTTGATTCTATATTTTACATTTATTTATATCTAATTTTGTTTCTACATTTTTGATCTGATTTTATATTTATACATCTGGTATACACCTTGTATACATCTGGTTTTGTTTATATAGTTATGTACGATTTTACATTTTATATTTACATATTAAATAACTTATTTTGTGTATAAATGTAGTCTTAGAATTATAACAGGATTTCATGGCAGAAACGTACTGTAAAATAACATTTATAACATATCAAGTCGAAGTTCTAGATTTAATATAATTAATCTCAAGAATATTTTCTTAGCATTTTTACAATTAGTACAAAATGGCTGACTATCACTTACAACAAACAATTACTACTTTTACAATATATAAAAACCAACATTATTTTATAACATAAAAATGACACAAAATGACGTTTATGGCACATCAATTTAAAGCTGAATTACTGTATAACTTTATAGAATGCGACAGAAAAACTTCATTTGTATTTTTAAGACAAAATGGATGTTTGTCAATTATAGGAAACAATTACTAATTTTATAATATTGGAAGACTCATATGGTTTGATAACATAAAACACTCAAAATAACCTTTGTAGCACGTCGATTTGAAGCTTAAATACCAAAAATAACGATATAAGTCAGTAATATTTCTATCACAAAATGGTTGCTTCTCAATTATATTAAGCTATCACTGATTTCACAACTAATACAGTCTGAAATAATTTGATGACATAACAGTACCATAAAATGGCACTTGTCATATATCAAAATGAAACTTAAGACTTACTGAAAATGATAATATAAACGTTTTGTTAATATTCTCAAAATAAGATGGCAGATTCCTTGCCAGAATACAATATGAATCAACCAATTTGCAACATAAACAAAATTGCAATTCTAATGTTATATTTTTCTACACGATGATAATATTGATTAAATCTTTCTAGATTTATTTTTAGAACATTTTAAGCTTTAAACTGCTATGTCATAAGTGACATTTTACCACACTTTTATGTCACGAAATTGCGTTAGAGATTTTATATACGATATACCTAACCTAATTTTGTTTTCTACATACTTGCTGTTAACATTAAAAATATCACAAATACACTTACACAGTAATTTAAAAAAAGCTTAAGCTTCAACTATCTATACTACAATAGATCATTCAAGATACTTTTATGTCACCAACTTATATTACACTTTTTACATTACGAAATTGAATATCGAGTATACAAAAATTTAACACAAAAATTATAAATTTTTTGTACGATTTAAAAATAGTCCTAGAAAAAGTATTTAAAAGAAAAGATTTCAACCCTCCCAACAATTCTACCATTAAAACAATAAAACTATCAAACTAAGTTTGATTCATGAAATTAATTTTCAAAATCACTGTTATAAAGCAAAATGCAATTTTTTCCTCAATTCAACTGTACTTGAGGGTAACATAAAGATTGCAGAACGGTTGATGCATACTTCCTGCAAAAAAAAAGAATTTTTTTGGCAGTGCAGCTCCGGTGGAGATAGATGAACTTATTTATTCGGTTCGCGTGCTGTAGCCAAGGCTCAACAGATTTGTTACACGGCTGAATTTATAACACACGTGAAACACGAAAATTCGCCCAAAGGGATCACCGGGTCAATGGAAGCATTGAAAATGAATTCCATATTTGGTGAGCCTTTCGTAGATTCGTTTTACGCGCGAGAGTGCATCTCATAATATGATTAACGCTTGGTATTCGAATAATTAAGATTATTAATCGTTTGAGAAAATTATTCTATACACGAACGTGCAGAATTATCGAAATATTTCGTACATTTTTAATCAATTGGCAATTTTAAATTAAATTAGTCTTCCATTGGCTTTTAAATCAAATTAAATTGTCTTTTAATTAACTTTTAATTCATATTAAATTGATCTATGTGACGAAGCACGTTCTCCATTACAGTGATATTCAATAATTGCGAGATAGCTAATTACGGTATCAAAGGAAAATTTTTATCAGTCAATTTTTAAATTATTTCATTTTGGATTACCATAATATAAATTAGTAAATATTTAATTGTATAACTTCTTCATAATATAATATTCAGAGAGATTTTTATTTATGGGATAAATAAATTAAAATTGTGAAAATGAGAACTAAGAGAATTTTTTATAAAATTATATTCGGGGTGTTGGTACCGTAATCGTGTACTTACACCAAAAACTTGTTAATATCTTATTAAATAAGATATTTCACAAACCACGATCCCTAAACAATAAAATCAGTTTCTAGAAGAAATACAATTTTCTACTGAACATAATCTTAATATGGAACCTAACCTCAATCCTAATCTATTTAACTAACATCTGAACAACCATTACTTACAAATTTTAAACTCATTTAAGCTTATCAACCTTCAAATTTTAAATAAACTTATAAATCTAACTAAAGTCTTGAACTTTGAAGAATTCTATAAAAATAAATTAACATAGCAGTGTTAGAAAAGAGCACCATACAAATGAAGATCTAGTAAAAATATCAACCCAATTACTAATTAATTACAATAATTCAAATATTCCATAAAACAAATTCTTCACCACCCATCTACCACCAAACAAAGAGATCACAATTTTTAAATAAAGAAACAAAAAGTAACAAAAGTGTGATTCTCTCGACGAAAATGGACTGAACAAATGAAGCCAACTTCCATAATTTGTAGCTATTCTTCATCTTGACTGCTTTGTTCGTTAACGAGGGTCACATGCAGTGTCTCCATATTAGGCCAATCTTTTAATCGGATCGTTTGAATTATACTCACGTAATAAGGTGGTCAGAGATACTTTCTTCGAGCGCAGATTTTCAAGATAATGCAAATGCGTCTTTTTCCCAGAATCTTCATGAACGTTTCATACAGGGACACGATGTTGTACGTCGACGAGATGTGGCTATTCTGTGTACCGTAGCCGGGGTCCACGTCGCCCCTCTATTAGACCCCCTCTAAAAAAAAAGAATTTCGTAATGTTTGCCAGTGTCTAAGCTTGGGCCAGAAATCTATCAATGAGAGAGAGGTCCTCGCACCTGGCAAGGTTTCGGCAGAGATATATAAACGGGTCCGTTAGACTTCGTCTTTACAATCTGAAAACTACTCTGATCAACATGAACACTTTGGTAAGTTTCGCGAGTGGAAGCATTTTGTGTGAATTATACTTTATTGCGTGGATAATACGCTGACTTCTCGAAGGGTGGGAATTTGTGCAATACGTTTAAAATAAATATTATAATAGAATTTATGAGAGAGTTAATACTACATTGAAGGTTCATATACAACAATTTTTTTCAAGCTACAGATTCGTATCTGGAAATATTTTTCAAGCTGAAGATTTATATACAAAAATATTTTCTAAACTGAAGATTTATATACAAAAATATTTTTCAAACTGGAGGTTTATGTACAAAAACATTTTTCACACTGAAAATTTATTTTTGACGATATTTTCCCAGTTGTAGATTCATATTTAAAAATATTGATAATATGGTTTATAACGAAACAATATAATAGTACGTTAATTTGTGTCATTTGTGCGCTTAAAATTTTCAGTGACATTGATATAACTCATACGTACAAAAAGTGAAGTTACGTTTTAAAAGAACTTCTTAACAATTTCCATAGTTAAGCTCTTCACAGTCAATATTCAAGACATCGTCCTGTATTTTTAAATGTTACAAAGAGTAATACAAGAGGGAGAGTTATTACAAGATTCCAAATTTTAAATATTACAGAGAGCAACATTTAAAATATTTAGTAATATAAAAATGTAAGGTCCAGTATTGTTGATAAAGTAAATAAATTTGTAGGCTTGTGTTTTGTTCGCCTCCATGGTGGCGTCCTCTCTGTGTGCTCCTCTGGAGAACACCACACCGATACCCATCGTCGCATACACCGCCGATGGACCAAATCCAGACGGATCCTACGCCTTCAGCTACGAGACTGCAAACGGCATCAAGGCATCGGAACACGGTCAACTAAAGCAGCTGAACGATACGAACTCCGTAGTGGTTGTTGAAGGATCCTACAGTTACTCTGTTGCTGACGGAAACCCGGTCGTCTTGAGTTACGTGGCCGACGAAAATGGCTTCCAGCCAAAGGGTGAACATCTTCCGACCCCGCATCCGATCCCTGAAGGAATTTTAAAAGCCTTGGAATACATCGCTGCGCATCCTGAACAAGACAAAGTTCGTTGATCGTTCGATTGTGTTATAGAAATAAGACTTTGACGCGACGATGGCTGCAAACCATCGCGACACTTTCTTTATGGACTCGCTTCTTCCTTTCTGATCATTTTATTTGGCTACGATTTCAAAAGACAAACTATCAAGTTTGAGATTTAACTGATGTCTATGATTCGATGGATAACCTAACTAGTTTTTAATCGATTTAATCCAAAGTTCTTAACGGATTCACTAGGTATAAGTTTATTTTGAAAATAAGTAAATAAGTTTAAAATAAATTTTAAAATTCGAAATGAATTTCGTGTATGTTTAGATCTTTCTGTTGGAAAAATTTTTTAGTAAACCTTGATGAAAAATTATTAATATTGTATAGTGAAGTTCTGAAGCTCTACGTATAAAAAGACATCGTAATAGTTAACAAGTTCACTACATACGAAGATTTGAATAATTGAAGATTAGAGACTCAGCATCACCTGGTATTTGTGAATGGAATTATGGAAATCTGTATACCCTGTGGAGTATCCCTCGACCTCATAGTAGTAGTTAAAGCTTGAATTGCAGCGATTATTAAGGAAAATTGTGTAACAGTTGAACCGTGATGACGGGATGAAACTGGTAACACAAGTATATTTGTATTATAATAAATAATTTTAATTGCAAAATAAATATTAGACTTGTCTGTCTCTTTAAGCACCCTCTCACGTTGAAATACTCTACTTTGTAATTTTTAAATTCATAACATTTGTTAATATTCTTTCTTGAAATATTTTATTCTTGAGTATCGTAATTTCTAGTTTGTTTTAATGGTAAAATTAAAATGTTAGAATTAAAATTAAATTTTAGAAACAGAACTATTTGATAACCATTTGAACTATTTGTAAGCACAAAATTATTTACAATTTGTCTGTCACTGTTTTCGCAACAAATTGTACACATTTTTCAGAATATTATTATTATACTTCATACATTTCTTATTTATTTTGGTAAACTATAACCACGTCAATATAATTTAAAAACGTTTCCAGATTTTTTCTAAGGAAATTCTTCGTTTACTACTTTAGTTATGAAACTCATTTCATGGCAGCCATTTTTATAGCGTCCCGGTAAAATTGTTCTAACTTTGAACAGAGTCACTATATTCCTATATAAAATTGCTATATATTCTTCAAATATTAGTTCAGTAAAGTACAAAATTTTAAATATACAAATTCACTTTATTTTTTATTTTAATTTTCAAAATTTGTTCATTTAATTTAACTCATTTCTTCATTAAGTGATGGCTATATTTTCATATAAAATTGCTATATATTCTTCAAATATTAATTGAATAAATTACAAAGTATTAAATATATATTTTGTTCTTAAACGTCAAATGTTGCTTTAACAAAAGTTCACCAAACTTAAAAATAGATGATCATTACATTTTCATATAAAATTGTACATGTACATTCTTTAAATGCAAATTCATAACAGCTTAAATATACAAATGTATAAAGTGTCTACATTTTTCTTAAATTTCGAAAGTTACTTAATTTATTGTTCAACACACTTAAATACAGGTGACCGTTGCTTTTAAACATAATTTACCGAATGAATGGTATCTTTTTCTGAAACTGTAGATATCGCAAATTTTCAGTAAGACTGTACATCGGACTTGGTATCCTAAACCATCGTCGGAAAAAAATGAAGGAAACGGAGGATTCGAGAGTGAGATGTATGACTACATCACATACGAACGTGTTCGGCGTACGAGACTTATGACGTCATTAACCATTGACCGACATCACTTCAGAGTTGTAACACATTATGGACAGTGATGCATAACCCGTCGGTGAAAAAAGACGAGTTCCACAAAAGTCGCGTGTTACTCATTAAGATGGTAATTAAGTGCACTCTGATCTGCATACTGTTACTCTTTACGAAAGACGGGAGCATCGAAACCTTATTTCAAATAGACTTGGTGTTACAACTACTTCATAACAGATTTTTTAAACTCTATACATTTCTATTAATTCTCTAATTTGGAATATTTTATTTTGAAATATTTTTATTTGACATACTTGAGTTATCAATGTTTCATTCTAAAATTATTCAAATTTTATTCTAAATTTTAAATAAAGGAATATTTCGTTCGAAATATATTTTTCGTAATGCTTTAATTCTGTATATTCTATTCTGAATTATTTTAATTTGCAAAAATATTTCATTTTTGACTATCCTTGAAAATATCGTAATTTCAAGTGTTTACGATAATTTGCTTAGTATTATTCTATTTTATTTTCGAATACAATCTAACATATTTTGCAATTACTGCAATTTAAAATAAGGTAATTTATTATATTCAATTTCAATTTATTTTATAATATTTTGTTTTGAAATATTATGTTTCAAAATATTTTATTTCATACGATTCTACTTTAAAATATTTTGTTTAGTATTATCCCAAATATACATATTTTTGTTACTTTAATTTTTAATATCTTTCCTTGAAATGTTGACAAAAAGAGTCAATGTATTTTACTGAACCATCATTTATGAAACGAATACGAGTTATACAAATTGAGGTTATGGTTCTCTTTCGTACTCGCACTTTTGCCGATCGCCCCATAATTTATAGTCAAAAGAAGATGTAGCAATTATAATCCACAGAACTCATCAGATTTTCTTTTTCCCCCTAAAATAAAATTGGCAATAAAAGGGACTCGTTACAAAGATGTGCAGACAATTCAACGTACTGTGACGGAGCATTTAAATGCGATTTCCCAAGAGATGCTTTTCACGAAGCGAAAATCCAGACTTTCTACGAACATTTCACTGATAATCTGCGGCGAATGTAGAAATGTATATTAAAAATTGAATAATGAAATTTTATACATTTATAGAATTTGATTTTTGATGGTATTAATCTGTGAACATTTCAATGTACCGACCATTCTATAATTGAGCTGGAAATATTCTATTTTGAGATATTGTAATTTCACGTTATTGTAATTTGGAATATTCGATTTTAGGATGAAGTAATTTCACGTTATTCTTTTTTAAAATATTTTATTTTGGGATACTGTGATTTTATGGTGTTCTAAATTAAAATACTTAATTTCGGATTATTTTAGTTCCATGTTGTTCTAGTTTGACATATTTAATTTTGGGGTAGAATAATTTAGAATATACAATTTTGGGATATTGTGGTTCCACTTTGTTCTAATTCGAAATATTCAATTTTAGGATGTAGTAATTTTATGTTATTGTAAATTGAAATATTTAATTTTGGATTATTGTAATTTTGAAAATATTCAATTTTGGGACATTGTAAGCTCTCATTATTCTAATTTAAAATATTCACTTTGGGATTATTGTAATTTCACGTTACTCTAATTTGAAATATTCAATTATGGAATGTTGTAATTTCATCATGTTCTAGTTTAAAATACTTAATTTTGGGATGTTGTAATTTCACGTTATTCTAATTTGACACTTTTAATTTTGGGGTAGAATAATTTAGAATATACAATTTTGGGATATTGTGGTTCCACTTTGTTCTAATTCGAAATATTCAATTTTAGGATGTAGTAATTTTATGTTATTGTAAATTGAAATATTTAATTTTGGATTATTGTAATTTTGAAAATATTCAATTTTGGGACATTGTAAGCTCTCATTATTCTAATTTAAAATATTCACTTTGGGATTATTGTAATTTCACGTTACTCTAATTTGAAATATTCAATTATGGAATGTTGTAATTTCATCATGTTCTAGTTTAAAATACTTAATTTTGGGATGTTGTAATTTCACGTTATTCTAATTTGACACTTTTAATTTTGGGGTAGAATAATTTAGAATATACAATTTTGGGATATTGTGGTTCCACTTTGTTCTAATTCGAAATATTCAATTTTAGGATGTAGTAATTTTATGTTATTGTAAATTGAAATATTTAATTTTGGATTATTGTAATTTTGAAAATATTCAATTTTGGGACATTGTAAGCTCTCATTATTCTAATTTAAAATATTCACTTTGGGATTATTGTAATTTCACGTTACTCTAATTTGAAATATTCAATTATGGAATGTTGTAATTTCATCATGTTCTAGTTTAAAATACTTAATTTTGGGATGTTGTAATTTCACGTTATTCTAATTTGACACTTTTAATTTTGGGGTAGAATAATTTAGAATATTAAATTTTGGGATATTGTGGTTCCACTTTGTTCTAATTCGAAATATTCAATTTTAGGATGTAGTAATTTTATGTTATTGTAAATTGAAATATTTAATTTTGGATTATTGTAATTTTGAAAATATTCAATTTTGGGACATTGTAAGTTCTCATTATTCTAACTTAAGACATTGAATTTTGGATTACTGTAATTTCTCATTATTCTAATTTAAGACATTGAATTTTGGATTACTGTAATTTCACATTAATCTAATTTGAAATATTATAATCTCACATTATTCTAATTTGAAAAATTCAATGTTAAGATGTTGTAATTTCACGTTAATTAGTTTAGTCACGTTATTAACATTAAATACTTAATTTTGTATTTTTGTAATTTCACATTATCCTAATTTGAAACATTCAATTTTTATGTTATTCTATTGACGTTAAATATTTCCTGTCTCAAAAGAATATACCCATAGTTTATTGTTACATAGATTAATAAGTAAAATGAACAAATATGAAATTCGTATCACGTTGGTTATCTTAAAAATAAAAATGTTTAAAATGAACATCACTAACATCAGTGGAATTCGATATTTTTGTTGTCGTTTTTATTTTTGATATTAATATGCATGTATGTATACATTTTATTGGGATGCCCTGTATTTTAATATCGTTCAAATATTTTGTTTTGAAATATGGTATAAAACATTTTATTTTAAAATACTTTCTTTTGGAATATTGTATGCTTCTACCCTCAGCGATCATATGTATTAATATTCAAACAATATGTATACTTAATTAATATTAATTAAATATGAATATTAATAATGTTGTTAGTATTTCTATTATTAATAAAACTAACAATATTTTTATCTATTTTTATCTATTCTGTCAATATTCTATTTGTACCTATTTTTATATAATAATTT